GACAACAGAAGACACATTAAAACTATTGCATTAAATTTTAAATCATACCTATTTTTTCTTGAAAATAGTTTAACATAACAGTTTTTCTCCCCAGTTTGAACTGGAGGATTCAGATACCTAGGAGTTGAATAAAATGTCACAGAAATCATGTATAAAGTGAACGTCAACTCTTTCAGTGATCAAGGATTCTTTGTGGTATTTAGAGTTTCCTTTTAAGGAAGTGCTTTGGAGCTATCAAAAGAACTCTGTTGAATTTAAACTATTGTAAAAAATGTTATAGCTCAAATTTTGAGTGCAGACTGCTTCAAAGACTCCTACCTTACTTAGAAGTCTTGTTCAAGAGCATTATTATCCAAATGATTTATGCTCATGAAATGCAAAGTTAATTTAACAATTCAAAATGAAACATACTTTAGAAAAAATAGAAACCATTATAAAAATCTTGGATTCATTATTATGGATAATTAGATAATTTATTACATATTATGGCATTTTTTTCAACAAAATGCATAAAACTTCTGTTTAATCTAGATATTAATGCAAATTCAGTATCATTCCACTTAAATTCCACTTCAGTAGAATTCTAATTCTTGAATTCTAATTCTTCTGAATATTATCCTATTAAAATTTTTTTCCAAGTATCAACCCTACATGATTACTAATGCCATATTTTCTAAGAGTGACACCGTTATTTATTATTTTAATAACTAAAACCTTAAGTGTCCAACAGACATAAAACAGTAAATACTTGTAAATCATTACACACAGATGAGAATACTGCATAGCTATTAAAAATAATCATGCTGTACAAAAACACAGACATAAAAACGTTCAAGATTCACTGTTAAGCAAATAGAATAATCTGCACTACAATGGATGCACTTTGAGCCCATTTTATAACATTATGTGTCTGTAAGTGTATATATACTTCTATAATGACTAAACAAAATGCAAGAAGAAAATACTCTTGAAGGTTAACAATAGCATCTCCTCGTGGTGGGATATGCAGTGATACTTTAAATTTTTAATTCATGCTTTTTTCTGTTTCCCAAGTTTTCTACATTAGGGTTGCACTATTTTTGTAATGGGGGGAGGGGAGGAGATTAAGAAATAAATAAAGGCATCTATTTAAATTAAAACTATATTCTAATACAAGTGATAAATTCGTAGCTAGGTATTATGGTTTAACCCTCAAAGGTACAAGCCCATTTGTGTTTTGGTTTTTTTGTTTTTAAATACAAAACCTTTGATGATGAATCAACCTTCATTTTCATCTTCCACTATTTTGGGTGAGAGTTAAAAATTTAAGTATCTGATTAAGAACTTCTTTGAAAAAGAAGGGAATTTTTGCCATACTATTTGGCCTTATTAATGTAAAAATGAAAACAAAATATTTCTTAAGAAAAGGTATATCACATTCTAAACAGTATCCTATAAGTCAAAAGCAATTCATAAAAATTTATTTTTAAAATGGATTTCTTTCTGTAGACTTCTAAGACTTAATAACCAAAATAACATCTTTGTAATATACACACCTACAACAAGTAAAAACTCAGAGTTGACACTATACTTATGAGAATGAGTTGAGGTTAATTTAATATTGGCATAACTAAAAACAAGGAGAAAAGCAAGAATATCTTATCTGCCCAATTTACAGAAATTACACCTAACAAAACTATAAAAATGACAAACAAATGGTTGTAATGCAACCTATAAATATAAATGCCATTATAATTATAGTCAATTAGTAAGTGTTAACTGCTTTGACACTTAAAAGTATTCTATAAATGATTCATACAACTCCATCTACAATTTTAGACTCACAAAAGGAGAAAATACAATGCCTACAAGAAACTACATGTAATTTTTTTTTCTACTTTATGCATCTGCAAAGGAGTGGAAAGAAATGGACACAAATAATAAAAGGTAGTTTGCTATAATGTGGAACTTTGATTTTTCACCATGTTTGTTTTCATAGTTTAAAATATTTAAAATAAAACAAATATTTTATTTGACAGAGCACCATAAGTTAAAATGTGGGGAGAAGGTACATTAAATGTGCTTTGACGACAGGAACTGTGATAGGAAGAAACAATTTACTTTTAATACTAATACTGCCTGACATTAGATGGCAGACAATAGTTGAATGACAGAATTTCCTAATACATTTCTAACAATCCTGAAATCTAAGAGACTGTATTATAATTATTAAACAAAACATCACATGGCCCTTTCCAGTGAGATAGAGTAAAACCAAAGAGAACAACTATCAATTAGTCTCATACATGTAAATGCCTGCTCTAAGGATGCAACTTAACTCCTTATTTCCTTAAGAGCTAAGATTTCAGCTTTCTAAATTTGTCCTATTTTTTCTTAGTAACTATTTAAAAGGTTGAGAGATATACTCTCCCTCCAAACCCCATGTCCGCAAAAACAAAAAACTGGAAATACTCTTACCCTTACAAACATTATGTATGTTTTTCTTCTGGAATTTATCGTATCTTATGTTATAATCATTATATACATGCTCATTTAACCATACTAAATTTCAACCCACTGAGGGCAAGGTCAATTGTATCCATCTTTCTATGCATCTCACATAGCTTAGTAGAATCTTGATTAAGACTCTGAAATTTCTGTAGGCTCTATCACCTAAAAAGAATTAAGGCTTGGGAATTCTTTGCAGCTTGGTTTAAAGAAAAAAAACCCAAAACCCTCTGAAACTATTAGAAAGGTACTGTTCTCTCTGCAGGGAGAATGAGGAGGGGTGGGGATGTGCATACTACTTGTCTGCTGTCAGCTAAGCACAAACTAGACCAAAAGACCAGCTTTTCCCTTTTCCCCTTCAATGGCTGGATTCCATCCAAGTCAATCGAGGGACTGATGTAATCTAGAGGGCTTTCCAGTGGTCTGCAAGTACAGGAGAATAAAATCAAAGTTTAACCTGTGAGCTACTACTGATTAGGTGAAAACCCTAGAATGTGAACTCTAGAATCCTATAAAAACCATGGAATCCAAGTCAGTCTGCTGAATTCAATCTACCCCAGATAAAGCTCATACCAGTGGAACCTCACTGCAAACTCTGTAAATGCACCCCAAACCAACTGACTCCTCAAAAGTGAAAAGATGAGTATGTCCTAAGGTGTAAGTTGTAAGTTACACTTTCTGACATATTCCAGGTCATTTCCCTGTCCTGTGGGTAGCAACATAGTCTACAGTAGAGAGGCAAATGGGCAGAGCAGACGACTGATCAAGACAATTCAATTTTCAAGACTGAAAAGTCTGTTTGTAAATGTACAGTAAACGATATAGGTTATACAACAGCGTTAACAGCAGTTATTTCTGGGGAGGAATGTGAGACAGAAGTAGAAGTGTGCAAAGGTTTTCACTTATTATATATACATTGTATTATTTTAATTTTTCAAGAGCATCAATTTTCTTCTACAATTTTAAAAACAAAATTTTATGTAAATTTTTGAAATATTGATTTAAAAAAGATTAAACAGACCCACATGGAATTCAAAGGAAAAATGAATGCCATTTTGCAAAAGTTTGGCTCCGACAGATCAAACAGAAATAACACAATTATCCTATCCCACAAAATAAAAAATATTTGTAACAGAATGAAAATGCCCATAGCAACTGTCACTCACTACTCAACACTCACTACTTTTATTATACAATATTAGCCACCAGAGGGAGTTTGAGTACCCTCTCCCCAAATTATATCCACTCTAATAACCCCCTTTTCAAATTTAACCTAATCAAAAAGGTTAGATTGGCAGAGCTAAAAAATCTTAATACAATACTTACAACAATCCATAAGTCAAAAAAATTTTTTTGGCATCAACAGTTTTATTTTAATTTTTTATAACACACGCACACACAAATATACATTTCAGTGGAGTTCATGTCTGATTTCCTTATAAGAAAAAAGTATCCCAATCTGAAAAGCCAACTACCTGGACAATAAATTCCATTATTATTTTAATGTAGTGCTTATATTCTCCAACTGTTTGTCATGACAACTTTGGGGTTTAAAAAAGTAAAATTTTATACAACTCTGACTCCTGAAAAAAGTGGGAGGGGAAGCACAGACAATAATCTGAAGACAGTATAATCCAGCCATAATGCACAATGTAAATAATGTCATTACATTCTTTAGCAAAACAAAATATGACTAAACATCTTTAAAAGTTAAATTTGTCTGTGACTTCAGCATCTTAAAAACGAATGTATAAAAAACCAAACTTATCCTAAACTTTCAATTTTGGTTCATTTTTCTCAAAACATATTGTAAATAGCCAAAATCACCATAAACCAGGGAGAGACAAGCAGACAAAAACCAGAGAGCAAATTATTTTGGAGGGGAGGATTTTTGTTTCATCCAGTTTACTAATCTATAACATAGTCACAAATAGTTTAAAAACACAGTGTACATCTCATTTCCAACCCTCCCCTCCTCGGGCTATTACTTCTTCCTCTTCCCCATGGTTATTTGTTTTCCAGTATCTTCCCAGGGTGCCTTTATACATAGAAAAGTAAACACAAGTTCATATTCCACTCCTCCCCCTTAACACATAAAGTAGTACATCATTCACAGTCCTACACCTTGTTGTTGTTGTTTTTTTCACTTTATAACATACTTTGGAGATCTTTCCACGTCAGTACACAGAAAGCTTCCTCATTCTTTTTTTCATAGCTGATCGTGACTAGTTGTACAACTTTCATCTACCTTCTTCAGGCTAACCTTTAATGACATTATATTAGGTCAACACTTAACACCTGAATTAGTTTCTTCCTCCGCCAACATGATTTTAAAATAAACCAGATTTGAGGTGTCCCAAAGTATAACTTTCAGAGAAAGCAACTCATTATCTAAACTGTATCCTTTTTACGACGTTTGTTTTCGACCAGGTAGGGGAAAACAATCCGCAATTTTCTCCTCTTATCGCTTAAAATAAAGCTACAAATTAGAAATGCAATCTTCATTTCATTACCTTTTTTGATTTGGGGAATCAGTGTAATAGTCAAATCAACAATGACTGTAAAAGTTTCTTTATTTCTTGTGCTTTTCTTTCACTGTAAAAGAAAAACATCGATTTAAAAAAAATAGCTAAAAAGCCTTAAAGTCGCATAGTGGCATTCTAATAACAAGAAACCACCACCTGATTCTCATCGGCCAGGTCAGAGGCCAAGGCTTTTATCTTTCGGGATTCTGCTCACTATGATCAGCAGGACGACTTCTACCCCGACAAACACACACTCAAGAATAAAAACTCTGCGGCACTACGTGTTGGAAATAACACTCCAGGAGCCACAGCGCCTGGACCAGCTACAGAGACTCCGGCTTCGCCGGCGGAAAGGGATCTAGGAAAGCCAGCCGCGGCGGTGACAGGGAGCTGGGAAGGCGCGGGCTCACGGAAGCAAGAAAAACCCGCGCTGCGCGGGGAGCCCTCGAACCCGCGCAATCGCTTGAGCCGGACGCACGGAGCCGCGCGCTCCCCGGAGACCGAGCCCGGGAACCACGACCACTAACGGAACCAGACCAAGGGCGGCGGCGGCCGCCGCTCGGACCGCGGACTGCGGTGCGCGGGTCCAGCGCCGGGAGGGCGGGGGTTCCCCGGAGGAGCTGGCCGCCCCGGCGCCCCATTGGGCGCCGCTCCAAACGTGCCCAAGTTGTGACAGGAATAAAGTGGGTCACAAGGCCTAGCGGGTCCCCAGCAACAGCCCTTTCGGCACCAGGTCTCCCATTTTTCCCGCCGCTCTGTCACGGAATCAGCCCCAGTCCCGGGGCGCGCACCAGCCACCCGGCCCCGCCATGCACCCCAATCCCGCCCCTGCCCCGCAGGTAACCCCAGCTGCCCCGAAGGGCGCCTCAGCCAAGGCGGGCCTCCGCCCCAACTCCCAGAAAAAGACACTAAAGCGACAATCAAAACTTGGGCTTCAGCTCCCGCCTTCCTCTTCCCTTGGCCGCCGCCCCCCGGCCACACACACACCGCCCCCCGCTCCCGCCCCTACCCCGCGCCCTCACCGTGCGGCTGGCGGCAGCTCCGGCTTCTTCCCTCCCCCACCCTGGAGTCCGGCTGCGGTGACTCGGAACCACTAAACCGGCTGCGTCCAGGAGACACTGCGGCTCCCAGCACGAGGAGCACCTAGGGCAGTGAATGGCGCCCCCAACCCACCCCCAAAATATTCACCGCTACCGCCGCCCGCTCCTCCTCCCCCTCCCTTCCCTTCCCCTCCTCCACCGGCACTGGGAGCACGCATGCGCCGCCGAGGCAAGCCTACCGGCAGACGTCAGGCCCCGGGCCCACCCGGTGAAGCACCACTCACCGGGAGCGCGCACGCGTCCGCAGCCAGATTTCCTTTGCGCTCTGGTTCTCGGGGGTTTCCTTTTTTAAAGCCGGTAGCCGCAAGCCTTGTCTGTGATTGCGCTCCCTTCCGGCGCATGCGTCGTCAATGACCCCCGCGGGCTCCGACGGCCGGCGCTCTGCGTTCGCCCCTCCCCTCACTCTCCCATTCCCCGGCGCGTCTCGGTGCGCATGCGACTTTCCCCGTTAGGCAGCGCTGAGCTGCGGAGGGGATCCCGGGTTGCGGAGGAGACTCTCTCTCCCTTGGGCGGCGTGATTGCGCGGTCCGCGGCCGCTGCCGGGGTTGGAGGGAAACCGGGATCTCCCCGGTGCCCCCTTCCCCGTACCGGTTACTGGAAAGCCGGGGAGAGGCGGGGCCTGGTCGGGTGGAGGGTGCGGCCGGTCTGGGGAGCGTTAGCGTTTGGTGGGGGCGGCTTTGGCTTTCACCCTGGATGCTGGGAGCGGGAGGAGGAGGAAGAGCTTCCTGCCGGATGAGCGATCCGGAGGCCAAAAGGGATCCTCTCTCCCTTAAAAACTAAATCACTTTGCCGACGCCAGGGAAGATTTTTCGGGGGTTCGCAGGCGAAAGATTGTTTTTCCCTCTCTAGCGGCATCACTCGCATTTCCTCTAATGGGGCTGGGAGAGAGAGGTTGTGAAGGTGACTGGACCTCCAGAGACATACAGCCTTTCCCCCTCTCCTGGAGGAGCACGGCTTGGGTCGCTTCTTATTGGCGGCTAGGCCTTGGGAGACAGGACGTGCTCCCTTGGCTGGAAGGCGGCAAAAGTGGTCAGGATAGTATGTATAAATGGAAGATGAGGGATGAATTGGGGATAAACCAGGATCCTAATTTGCACGGCTTCCCTTGTTAAAAAAGCGTGTGAATACTTCCTGCTTATCTTGGGAAATGACTCCTTTGATGCTTAAAACACACTTGGTCCTAAGGGAGAGCACATTTCAGTAGTTGTAAATTATGGGAAAAGAGGTCTTTACAGTCCCAATTCCTAGTACTTTTCATGTTTTAATGAATGACTTTTTGATTTGAAATAGAAGCCATCTTATTTAATAAAATAACTTTCAGTTACAAAATCCTCCCTACAAGGTAACATTCACCTCAGTAAACATTTCAAATTCTTGCTGTATGCTCAGAGAGAAAAAAAAACATCAAAATTGGTGGACTTATTCAAATCCCTGATTCTTCACCTGAGGATTTTTCTGGTCCAGTTGGGAAAACATAATTTGTTAACTTCATCATATAGCAGAAGGAATTTTAGGACACATTTTTGCCTGCTCAGCATTCATTCCCTATTCTGATCATTTCCTTTGGAGAACTATCTTCACTCTCAATCCATATGGCTGAGGCAAGACTCCAGGGGAAAGCATATTTGCCTTCCTCTGCCTTAGGCTGGAGTTACCAAGACAGGCTTGCTCTTTTCCAATGGATTTAAGCCCGGAAAATGGAGGTCTGAAGCCATCTTTCCACTCAGATTCTGAGAAAGAAGGCAACATAGAAAAAAGCAGATTCAAAGGTGGAGATCGGCCTGGAGACATGTTTGATAACCTGAATCCAATGTGGACTAGATAAATCTGGAAATTTAGTTAAGTTAGTTGATAAATTCATGCGCTTTTGTATTATTGCTTAAACTAGTTTTCTATCCCTTGGGATCATGAATCCTGATACTTGTAGCAAAAGAGGAGGCAAGGTTAATTATACTGGTAAAGTAGATTGCATCCAGACAACTGGGTTTGAGTTCTTTTGCTAGGATGTGGATGTTTGGATTTTATTCTAGAGAAAGTGATCCTTCCTCATATACTACATCATCTAGAACACACTATCTTCAAAAATACCTTTGCCCTTTTTAATGGTTCCATTGTACTCTTAGTCACTAGGATCAAATCATTTTCATCTTTGACTCCTTCCTCTCACTTTCTTTATTTAATCATTTACCAAGACCTGTTGATAATCCTCTGTTTTTCTGCTCATTCCTCTGCAACTGCTTGAACATTTCCCACGGTTCAGTTCACAACTTATCCTTTCTCCCCATAGTCTCTCCAAGACTAAAACTGTACCAGATATTTGTAATATCTTTTCCAACTTACAGATTCCACTTTTCTCTAAAACAAAAACCCTGCCTTTCTTAGATCCTAAATTTGTTCCCCAGGCTAAATCCTCTCCTTAAACACATTTATGCAACTCAAATATTCCATTCATTCTTTCTTGTATGCCTTGTTATTATTTAAACTGAGAATTTCCAACTCCCCAACTGATTCCCCTAGTTGATGTCTTGATAGAGGTAATATAGCATAGTGGTTAAGAGTTCAGAATCAGTGATTAAACCACCTGGATTTGAATCCCAGCCTCACCACTTAATATCTGAATGACTTTGAGCAAGTAATTTCTCTGTTCTTCAGTTCCCTCATCTGTAAAATGAGATTATTATGACATATTGTAGGATAATTGAGAGGAGATGAAGATAGATACAGGTGTGTGGGTGTGGGTGTATGTATGTACCTGGTACATAAGAAATCCCATATTAGTGCTGGCTATTATTAATGATGTTCCTTTGTAATTCTTACATCTTTTTGCTCAAATTTTACCCCAGTTTCCTATGTCTGATCAGTCACAAAACCTTTCTGTTCTTTAATAATGTCTCTCATCCATAATTTCATTGACATTCCTAATTTTATCACCATAGTTTAAGGTGAATGGAACATAGGAAGTTTAAGATATGCATAATCGGGAATATAAGGTAAGTTTTTTATTAAGAGAAACCTTCATGGTTTAATCAATTACTCATATTCTTTCTAGACCCTTTAAAATAGAAGGAAATACATAATATGAGGTGGTATTATGGACTTCAGTCAAAAGCCTAGGCTTAAATCTTGACTGATACTAAACTAAGAGACAGTGAGAAAGTTAAATAATTTCTCTTAGTTTCAGGGTATTTATCTGAACGGTATCTCAGAGAGTTGTGATGATCAAATGTAAATGATAAACTGCTACATAAAAGTTGGGTGGTAAAGATGGTGGTTTTAGTTTTTTACAATTTTTATTGGTACCCTAAGAATGACAACTCACCAATTTGTAACTCCAGCTTACAGCTCTCCTTTGGGCTCCCTACACGTGCCCAATTGTCTACCTGATGCCTCCTCCTGAGTTTCTCAAATGTCTTGGATGCCCCCTTCAATTTATTCTTCACAAAGCAGCAAGAATATTCTTTCAAAAATATAAATGAAACCATATCTCCTACTTAAAACCCTTTGTTTCCTGTTACATCCAAACTCAATCATGGATATAATACCCTGTTTGAGCTAGCTCCTGCTGCCTTGCCAACCTCGTATCCTATCATTTCTCCTTTTCCCACAACATTCCCAGAAACTTCCTTCAATTCTTTGCTAACCTCTCTCTGTTCTCAAGCTCTGGTATATGCTGTGCCATTGCCTAGATCACTCTCCTATCTTTTCTCATGGCTGGCTCCGCAGTCTTTATGTCTCAAAGCTCTAACTACCCTATTTAAGTAGGCCTCCCTCCCACCTCTCACCTGCCCACCCCCTTCCATGTAGTACCCACTGTTTATTGTTGTGCTTACGTTTCTTCCATAATATAAGTTTAAATTACACATATATTTGTTTTCTTATCTATTAACTATCTTCTCCACCACCACATAGTAAACTCCAGGAGGCAAGAACCATGTGTTTTGTTCAGTACTGTATCTGCAGCATCTATTTCATTCCTGACATGAAAGAATGGATGAGATGAGATGAAAGGTAAAAATGCTAAAAGATTTTTAGGATCATCCTTGTATCCCAAATTATGATTATAGGCAGATTATAGTCTTGTCAAGAGGTAGCCTTACTAATGAGTATTAAAGTACAAAGGAGAGAGAAACTGAAATCAATAAAATATGATGTACTAGTACTATGTTAGTAATTAAGTATTTGAGGACCCACAAGAATATGTAACTCTATAATAGACACAGCTAACACCTATATAAGAGGATATTGAGTGAGGTCCAAAATAGGGAACAAAGAGCATGAAGTATTCATCTTCTAAATAGCTGCTGACATTTGGAGTCAGTTACCTACTTCTTTAGCCAGGACAAAAGCTGAACAAAACTGGACCTACATCGTCAAAACCTCCAACCCCCACTATCAGGCCATATAAGCAGAACACTTGGGAAGAGGAGGATGAGAGATTCATTGGAGCCGTGTTTTATTAAGTTCCTGGAGAGTACTGTGGATTTTCCTTTCCTATTTATTCCCACCCCATTCCAAGTTAAGTAAACAAGGCTCCAATAGAATCAGCTAGAGGAACTGGAGGTGAGTATAGGAGAGACTGACATCTCATCCACTGGCAGATTTGTTGATATGCCCTGCACCTACATGGACAGGAAGATAAGAGACTTTGAGGGAAACAGCTGGACTGGGAGTGGGCAGAGTAAAGCAATTTGCACTCCTACAATTTGCGTGGCAAAGATGTATACGTTTCTCTAGGGTCCATTGATTCTGTAGAAAGTGCCATCCAGGTTTGAACCATCTTGACACCTAAGAAGGAAAGAAATTTTAGCAGCAAAAGGCTGGGGGTGCTTCTGAAAGTGGGAACTGAGACAGATTAAAAGAGAGAGAGCTTCAGACTGATATCCCACGTCAAGGAACTGTGCAGGGGAGAGGTTGCCTCAGAGTTTCTAGAACTCAATGTGCCCATTCACAAGTGAACATTTAGAAACAATTCGGATTGTACTTAACCAGTGAAAAGAAATTTATCCCTTTCTTCCCTGATTTCCCTCCCAGACACCACCCCACACCAGAGGGAATGGGCCTTGAAAAGAGAGGGAAAGGATTGGTTAAAAACAAACCCCACCTTCCATCTTAAGGGTTCCTGAGTCACAAGTTCAGCCAGAAGCTTCCTTGGAACTGAGATTGGAGTTTTAAACCAGGCTGACTGAATCACCAAGAGTGTGGCGGAAGAGTTCAGGAATATGTCTTTAAAGGATTTGCTACCCATTGCTGCTTAATCACCTAAGGAGCTCATTAAAAATTCCAATTCAGCTAGTCTAGGATGGGGCCAGAGATTCTGCATTTCTAACAAGCTCCCTGGGGCTGCTGCTGATTCTAGGACCACACTTTGACAAGGCCTTATAAAGTAGGGAAAGGAGTTTCAACAGAGCTCAGTTGGCAGCAAGGAACAGAGAAAAATATTAGGTTGGAACATATAAAATATCCATATTTTTAGGTCAAAAACAGTTGAATACTGAACTGACAATTTCAAAAAACCTTTTAAGTTGGTATCCCACCAAATAAAAAAATTCGTAAAACAGGAAACAATATAAAA